CGGGCCAGCCGGAGGGGACACCCCAAGGACGAGAGCACGGTGTGCACTGATATGGGTGGAGCCAACAAGGCTCATCGTCCGCCTGCTAACGGCGGAAAAGAAGCCACCTGCACTGGCCATTTACTGGGCAGGAGACGAGGCAGTAACTGGGCACCCAGTCCCTTCTGCGCCCCAAGGAGGGGAGCAAAGGGAGACAGTCTCTGCACCCCATTTGAGAAAGACCCCACAAGAGCTCCCTGCAGCCTCACTCACCTCTGGAGCAGCAAATGCTTCAGGCTCACCTGAAAACTGCCGATGCCGAACGCTTCCCAGAGGTCTGGATGTGCCGACCCAGGTGCCGAGCGCTTCCCCACCCCACCACAGTCCACCTCAGAGTCCCCAAAAGCAGAAAAGCCCCTTGAGATCTCCGTCGCGGCAGCTGTCCCCACGCAGACCGTCTGGGTCCCAAAATGTTCTGAAGTGCTGAAGAAATGTTTTCTCTATGTTATTTGCTTATCTTCACCAACCTTTTTTTTTTCCTTCTCTTCTCTCTCTCCACTTTATGCCAGACAAAGTGATAGGTTTTTTCCTCTCTGCAAACTAAATACTTGCTTCAAGTTAAAAAAAAAAAAAAACAAAACCAAAACCACCCGCAGCTCTGACCTTTACCAAAAAAAAAAAAAGGGGGGTGAGAAAGAGAAGAGATTCAGGAACGATATATACAGATGGGGGAATTGCACTTAATTACAGTAGTTTACATCCATTGGACAAAAAATTTACTTCTTTTTATATAAATCTCTATGTATAGGAGTGGGGAAGGGTGAGGATGGAGCAGACTGTACCTATATTTACAGTTTAATTGGCTCAGTTCAACAGCACACGCAATCCCTCCTTCCAGACACCAAGTAACAGACCCAAGTCCCTCTCAGTTCGTCCGGTGGAGGAGTATAACTTAAATATTATCCATCTTCCCCTTCTGCCAGTCCCCAGTACAGCTTGTTCCTCGTTCCTCGGGAGAGCCAACGGCCTCTTGGAAGGCAAATACTTCAGAAAAAAAAATCCCCAAGACACGTCTTGGAAATACTGCGTGGAGGGAAGGAGAGGCACGGTCCTGGGTGGGCACCCTGCGAATCCGGGCTCGTCCCCGGCGGGGCGCGGAAGGGCGACGGGGAGCCGCGAGCCTCCGGCTCCGTTTCGGGTTGCTGGGCTCCTCGCTGCGGCGCTCGGCTTCGCTCTGG